TATATATATATATATATATATATATATATATATATTAACCGCATAATGGTGTGGGTCCAAATCCTTGCTTTTGTTAGATGGAAAATTAAAGCAAAAATTGAAGTTGGGCGTGAGCGGAGAGAGAGAGAGAGAGAATACAGTAATAATGGGGGTCAAGGGATCGTATCCAGTGGCTCCGGAAGCGAAGCTGACTCCAGTGAGTAGGTCCTCTGCTCCTAGATTTTGGCCGACATAAGCAGGGACTATTTCCTTTACACCCAGACTTGAGGCTGCAAAAATTACATATAAATAATTCGAAATCACAAATAGCATCAATAATCAGAATCATAACTGACCTGTGCAGGGGGATTGCAGGAATTTTTTTATTTCGAAAAACATTTTATCTATTCTTTTTCAATAAACATCACATAGAAAGCTTAATGCTTTTTAAAACCACCAGGTTTATATTTCTTTATGATGTTTACATATTACATAAGTTTTCCATGTTTAGCCATAACAATGTGCCCCAGGCCCCCAATAACGAAGAAAGCTTTATATATTCACGACAAGGCACGAGAAGAAGAGAAAAATTAATAAATCTCTTTTTAATGTAGATATATTTTACTGGCAATTAGATACAAGGCTATCCGAAACATCCTATTTACAAATCTACTTCCTTTTCATTCATTTTTCAAAAATTTCACTCACATATAAAAAAACATCTAAAACTTCAATCCAAAATTTTCAATTTTATTAAATTCTCAATAATTTGGTCGTGAGACATGTAAATACATTGTTCCCTTTGTTAAAAAAAATCACCTTGATCACTAATTTAAAAATATGAGTATTTCAAGTGATTTGTACGTGTTTTTATTGATAACTAGTGCACGTTCTCTTCAGAAATTCATTTATTAATAAAAAATTTGCAAACTTATTTGTGCGACCCTACTTCCAACTACTCACCCTTCGCTTGATTATTATACCTTTGTGCAGGGGGATTGCAGAAATTCATTTAGTTTTTTTATTGCTGTTTATATGTCAGTCACAAAATTTCTTAATGATAATTAAGTATTCATTAAAATCGGTAATTTGAAAAATTAAAAAAAAAACCGTGATAACCATCTGAATCAAGAAAGCCCCTACTACTAAAAAAAAAGCCAATTTTCGAAAATCTCGATCAATTTGCTCTACTATACACTAACAAAGTTGATTATGAAAAGCAGAAGGGTCTGCAAAATAAAATTATGAAAAAACTTTGTCGAATTTAAAATAAATGTATACATATAAGATCACCGGGTATGTTACCATTGCCCAATCTACTTGTGCTTTACGTGACTGGGAAAAGTACCTATAAGATCACCAGGTATCTTGCCATTGCAGAATCTCCCAGTAGGTACATGGCCGATGAAGTCCTTGCCATATGGAGGAAAATTACATTTCACAATAGTTTTTATAGCATTGTTATTTCCAGGATCAACAATGGAGTCACCAAACAAAATAACAGCAGGAACAATAGGCTTCGACGTTTTGTTGGCAGCAAGGGCGATTTGTGTGCAGAAGAAAAAGCTCGTAGCTGCCACTAAAAGACGAGTTGTGGCGATCTGTGAAGATCCAACAAAAATGTTTATGCGCTCCATTGCTCTGTTTCTTTGTACTTTGAGGTGCTGAAGAAGGCAATGACAACGTGTTCTTTTTATAAGCGGGAGAAAAGTAGGAGTTGTTCAATCCAAAGCAGTAGACACAGATGCATGAGTTATTGGAAAGACAACTCACAAGCTAACTATAAAAGTAGGGGAATTTATTGCACTGAAAGAAAAGTTTGTAGATTAGTAGATTAAGAAAAAAAAAACAACAAAAAAAAAAAAAAAAGAAGAGCGGGCGGGGTGGGTGGGGTGGCTGTTGGGAGTTGAGGGTCTATTGGATTCTAGCTAATGTATGGAGGCCCTGTTCCTTCCAACGCCGAGGAGGGAGTTTCCGCACCGCCAGTGTGTTTTAATAGCTCATTTTAAGAAAAATAATGGAAGAAGATACTGCTGACATGCACGGGAGAAGTATATCTTGAATTTTCTAGCAAGGAAGCAAACAAGATCCGAAGTTTTGAAAGTCTGGCATATTAATGCACTGCAAAAAAATTGTGTTGTAAGTATATGTAATTTAAGAAATATTATCGCATATTAACTTGAGTAATTTTGTCAATGGCTGGTAAAGTGATAATTTATATATATATATATATATATATATATATATATATGTACATATAACTATATGTATGCATTGTTGAAATATAAATTTGATTTTTAATAAAGCAATTTTTAGAAACATATTCTAGAAAATTCTCATCTAAAAGCTTATTCTAGAATAATCCATAGAGTTGTTTAGAATATGCGATAGGTATGGAATTATAAAGAGAATTCTAGAGATTCATTTGTAACAATTAGATTGGAATTGTAGTGGCACAATACTAGCCATTAATTTAAGAGGTGTTTCTAGTATAAATAGGAGTGGAGTATTTGAGTTTGTATGAAGCAAATAAAATGTGATAAATAGAAGTGTAGCTTATTTTATAAATTTTTAACGTTTACCAAATCCTAAAATCTTCTCTATTCCAACAAAACGGTATGGGAGCCTAAAGATTCCCTTATAGAGCAATAACAAACGGTGACATGGTTTCTATCCAAGTCCCGATGCTTAAGGAAAGCATCCACGACAATTGAACTAACAAGATGCAGTCACTCCTTGGAGCACATGATGTTGGGGAGGTTGTGGAGAAAGGCTACGATGAGCCAAGTGACGAGTCCGCTCTATCCACAACACAAAAGGATAACTTTAGAGACTTGCGAAAGAGAGACAAGAAGGCTTTCTTCCTCATCTCTCAAAATTTAGATGAAGATGGTTTTGAGAATAGATCTCAAGTGCTACTTCGCCCAAGCTAGCATGGGAGAAGCTTAAGGTATCGTATTAGGGAAAAGAGAAGGTTAAAAAGGCACGACTTCAAACTTTAAGAAGCTAGTTTGATGCTTTGTATATGAAAGAAGACAAGTTGGTCTCTGATTACTTTTCTAGAGTCATTATCATTTCCAATCAACTAAAAAGAAATTGTGAGAAGTTAGAAGATGTAGCTATCATGAAAAAGATTCTTCGATCGTTAGATTCAAAATTTGATAGCATCACAACCATTAACGAAGAGACCAAGAATTTACAAGCCATGAAGACAGAGCAACTTTTGGGTTCATTACAAGCCTATGAAGAAAAAAAGAAGAAGAATGAAGAGATTGTCGAACAACTCCTCAAGATGGATCTCTAACCAACTTAGAAAGATGAAAGCTTCAACAATATTAGAAACCAACATTGAAGAGGTAGCGGACAAGGATGAAATCATACTAGCAAGCAATGATGAGGTACCAACAATAACTATGAGAAAGAAGAAAGCTCTACAAGAGGACGTGGTAGAGGACAAGGAAGAGGTCATGCTAGAGAACAAGAATGGAATACTAACAATAACTATGAGAAAGAAAAAAGCTCTATAACAGGACGTGGTAGAGGGTACTCAAACTCGAGGTATGATAAATCTCAAATTAAGTGTTATAATTGTAACAAGTTCAGACATCAAGCAAAAGAATGTAGAGCAGCTAAGAACAAAGTTAATGAAAGAGTCAACTACATAGAAGAAAAGAGAGAAGAAGATGACACTCTACTGCTAGCATACAAGGACAATAAAAGAGGTGAAGATAGTACATGGTACCTGAACACTAGTGCAAGCAACCATATGTGTGGGAGACGAAGTATTTTTTTAGAGTTGAAAGGCAAAGATAACATTCTCATCCGCCAGAAAAATGGGAAGCATCAATTTTTTTTCTAATGTTTACTTTGTGTCAAATATGACGATCAATATCTTGAGTTTAAGTTAACTCTTGAAGAAAAGATATGATATTCACTTGAAAGAAAATACACTCTTCTTAAAAGACGATATTGATAATTTGATTGCTAAGGTGGAAATGTATAAAAAGAGAATGTTCTTGCTCAACATTCAAAACGATATTGCAAAATGTCTCAAAACCAGTTATAAAGATGCTTCTTGGCTCTGACATCTTCGATTTTAGCATCTCAACTTCGGATGACTCGAATTGCATTCAAAGAAAAAGATGGTGAGAGGATTACCTTGCATCAACCAGCTCGATCAATTATGTGAAGGATGTTTACTCGGAAAGCACTTTAGAAAAAACTTTCAAAGAGAGTCAAGTTCATGAGCCCAAAAGCCTCTTGAGCTCATCCATACAGATGTCTACGATCTAATAAAGCCAAGCTCACTTAGTAAGGGAAACTATTTCCTTCTCTTCATAGATGATTTTTCATGAAAAATATGGGTGCATTTTTTAAAACAAGAATAAGAGGTTTATGGAATATTTAAGAAGTTTAAGGCTAATGTAGAGAAAGAGAGTTGTATTAAGATCAAAGATATGCAATCTAATTGAGGAGGAGAATATACTTCAAAATAGTTTCAAGAATTCTGTGAAGCCAATGGAATACGATGAGATTTAATTGTTCCAAGATCCCCCAACAAAATAGAGTAGCGGAAAGAAAGAATATAACCATCCTTAACATGGCAAGAAGTATGTTAAAAGCAAGAGATTGCTGAAGGATTTTTAGGCAGAAGTGGTTCCATGTGCTGTTTATTTGGCTAACTGATTACCAATAAAAAGTGTGTTGGGATAGACATCATAAGAAGCATTGAGTGGAAGGAAGTCTGACATTTCTCATGTATGAGTTTTTGGATGCATAACTCATGAACACATACCAGACGAGAAAAGAAGTAAGTTAGATGACAAGAGCTAGAAGTTCATTTTTATTGGTTACGACACCAAATTGAAAGGGTACAAGCTATACAATCCAAATACAGAGAAGACAATCATCAATAGAGTTGTCATATTCGATGAAGGAGGAGAATGGGACCGGGGACTACATGATGAGGACTACAACCTTTTTCCATATTTTCAAGAAGAAGACGCAGAGCAGCTAAAGATCGAGAAAGTAAGAGAAGAGCCTACTTCTCCACAAATAACATTGATTACAAGTACTCACTCATCGTCATCAACTTCAAGAGAAAATTCAAGTAAAAGAGTACCATGCTTCAAAAGATTACAATATCTTTATGAGGTAACTAAGAATCAAGATAATCTTACTCTTTTTCTTCTTTTTGCCGACTGTGAGCCCTTGGATTTCCAAGAAGCCATGTAAAGCAAGAAGTGGAAAGAAGTACTGGATGAAGAAATGAAGGTAATCGAGAAGAATGACACATGGGAGCTAGCTTTACTTCCTAAAGGGCATAAGACAATTGATGTGAAGTGGGTGTATAAAGCAAAGAAGAATTCCAATAGAGAAAATAAAAGATATAAGGCAAGATTGGTGACAAAAGGCTACAGTCAAAGAGCAGACATCGACTATGTTTAGGTATTGGTCCTTATTGCTATATTAGAAACTATTTGACTAATAATCTCTTTGACAGTTTAAAATAAGTGGAGAATACATCAATGGATGTAAAATCTACCTTCTTTAATGGAATACTTGAAGAAAAAGTCTACAATCAACAACCATTAGAATATGATGTCAAAGGATAAGAAGACAAGGTTCTAAAGCTAAAAAGGGCTCTCTACGGGCTGAAACAAGCACCAAAAGTATGGAATAGTTGAATAGACAAGTATCTGCAAGAGAAAGGCTTCATAACGTGTCCTTATAAGCATGCTCTTTACATTAAGAATGAGTATGGAACTGTATTGATTGTTTGTTTATATGTTGATGACTTGATCTACATTAGAAATAATCCAAGCATGTTTAAAAAGTTCAAAGAAGCGATGGCAAAGAAGTTTGAAATGACAGCTATTGAACTCATGACATATTTTCTTTGGCGTTGAAGTCAAGCAAATGGAAGATGGCATTTTCATCTCTCAAGAAGGTTATGCAAGGGAGATATTGATGAAGTTCAAGATGTATAATAGCCGACCTATAAATACCCGTGTAGAATGTGGAGTCAAGCTATCAAAGTATAATGAGGGAAAAAAATTGATCCAATGATTTTCAAGAGTTTGGTTGGAAGTTTGCGCTACTTGACATGCACAAGGCCTGATATTCTTTATTTTTTGGACTTGTCAGTTGCTACATGGAGACTCCGACTGCTACCCGCCTTAAGACCGCTAAAAGATCTATGAGCCATATAAAAGGTAGAATTGATTTTGGCTTACATTACTCATCATCTAACAATTTCAAGCTTGTAAGATATATCGATAGTGATTGGGCAGGAGACATGGCTGATAGAAAGAGCACTACAGGGTTAGTGTTTTTCATAGGAGACACTGCTTTCACTTGGATGTCAAAGAAACAACCAATTATCACTCTTTCTACTTATAGAGTAGAGTATGTGGCTGCAACCTCATGTGTTTGCCATGCATTTTGGCTTTGAAGCCTTTTAAAGGAGTTAAGTTTATCACAAGAAGAGGCGATCAAGATTTGTATTGATAACAAGTCTGCAATAACACTAGCAAAGAATCCAATTTTTCCATGATAGAAGCAAGCACATTGATACGCGCAATCACTACATTAGAGAATGCATCGAAAGGAAGGAGATACAAGTGCAGTACGTGAAGTCTCAAGATCAAGTTGCAGATATTTTTACCAAACCACTCAAGAGCGAAGTCTTTATTAAAATGAGAAGTTTACTTGGAGTCACAAAATCAAGTTTA